ATTAGCTATTCCCGGCCGCAGCGAAACCGGCTCTTGGGACGCACTTTGAGAGGAGCGCCAGGGCAGCAGTTGGGGATACCTGCGCCCTGCCAGTCCGTCCATCCGTGTCTGGCCCGCCCGTACGTCCCCGGTCCCCGCGCTCACCACGTTCGTGTCCCGCTCCAGCGCCGGCTCCCAGCCCAGGTCTCGAGGTCCGCAGCAGTCCAGACAGACCAGCGCACGGCAACGGTAGTGGCAGGTGAACTTGCAGTCTGCGGAAAGGCCGCGGGCCGTAAGGTGGAAGATCCCCTGCCCCGGCTTTGCTGAAGCGTCCCGGGGGACCGAAGAGAGAAGCCCCGGGGTGGGGAACCTGTGCTCCTCGGACCCTGCGAGGCAGACATGCTCTCCAACCCCTCAATCCGCCCGGTTATACGCACTGATGATCCCTCGCCCTCTGAAAACTGATTGCAAGACCTCCGGCACCTAGGGACCCGAGCTTGCTTAACTGTCATAGAGTCCTGGGCAAGGTTCCCCCCCTTGCGGGATTGTTAGTCTCCTACCTCTGGTTGACTTAAAAGTAGAACCAAAACCTTTAGTCCATCTAGTTGTCTTCTTTGTTCTCTCCACCAAAGCGTTATCAGCAATGGTCTGCATACACTCAGTTCCTGGCCTTCCACCCTCTCGAGTCAGGGTTGACCTCCCTCCCAGCCTGCCCTCCCTGGTCAGCCTGCAAGCTGCTACATCCAGGGGTTCATTCTCCAGCTACCTCCTCAGCACCCTTTGACACTTGTTCCTTGTGGTTCTCAGGCGCCCACACTCTGCCAGTTCCCCTCCTACTTCCCTGCAGCTCTTGGTTCCACCTCAACTCCCCCGCTTGTCTGTTACAGGCAACATGTCAGGGACTCAGCCTTGATCTATCTTCTCTGTGGACACTACCCACACTCATCCACTTGCTTTGCCTCCATGGCTCCAGCACTGACCACTGCCCGAGTATCAAATCCCGTGCCCCAATCTTCGCCAACGGACATGTCAAATAACACCAAATTTTAACTTTTCTTCCACCTCACCTCTACCCTCCCAGACTTCATCTCATCAAAAGTCGCCCCCATTAATTCTCCTGGTGGTTTGAGGCAAATCCCAATGCCTCCTTGATTCCTCCCCTTATCTCCGTCCCTGAAACACACTCCTGTGCATGCGCCACTTTATTTCTTCTTGGAAATCCTGCAGTGTTTCCAGCACTTGGTCATGGGTTGTATTGGCTCACAGTTCTGCTTCTCCCAGCTGGGTTTCAGGTAGGCCCGGAACCAGACCGCCATGGATAAGTTTCTGAACAGGAGTTCTGAAGTGTTACTGGTTTCTAGTCCCTTTAAGGCGGGGGTCCAGGCCCAGGTGGTGGGAGGATGGTAAAGAGGGCTCGGGTGAGGAGAGCAGCCTCTGCAGGCTGGTTGATTCCCAGGAGAACAGAGGCCATTGGAATGTGGCTGGTATATCAGGACCTGGCTCAGTGAGTTCTGAACTAGGTTTGCAGAATAAATTCAGCAGAATCTTTGCTTGCAGGAGGCCCGCCCAAGGTCCTCAACTGTTTCCAGGCCCCCTCCCATTGGTGGCTGATTTCTCTTCACCTAAAGGATTCTGGAAGGGGCCCCAGTGGAACAGTGGGTTACCTAAGGTCAGCAGAAGCCACTAGCTGCTTGCTCCAGGGGAGAAAGATGAGGCTTTCTGCCCCCAGGAAGAGTTACAGTCTCGGGAACCAAAACCCACGGGCAGTTCTACTCTGTCCTACAGGGTGGCTAGGGGTTGGAAGGAATTCTGGAGGGGTGAATGAATCTTGGGGAAGGGGCAGGCCTGCAGACCCAGACATCAGTGGGCCCACAGTCTTTTTCAAGAAGGACCAAGGCACTTTAAAGAGAAGCTAAACTTGCCATTGAGCCTTGTTCTTCACAGATAAGTAAGTACCCTGCTCAGCTGGGCCCCCAATAAAGCATGGCTTCGAGTCAAACCATCAGTCTGCGTTCGTTAATGCCCACGATGGGCCCAACGGAACAGATCTGGTCTGGGCGGCACCTTCCACTATCCCCCAGCCACTGAGACCTGCCCCTTGGAGTCATATTCGGGGGGTGGGGGGCACTACTCACAAGCACATTGCAGGCCCTTGCGCACGACGCCCCAGATGAAGTC